CAAGCACTTTTTGGGCAAATCTATTAACAATTATTTTAATACATTTGTAAAATTTTTAACAATTATATTAATACATTTATAAAGAGAAAGTAAAGCGTTCTATCAAACAGTTCGTTTACGTCATCACGTAATAGTGACGTTAACACGCAACATAAATATTTGGTCTGTAGTTATTAATATTAAAGGACCTTCTCATTTTTTCACTTAAGGATAAATTACCTTCGAGTAAGTTTTGAAGCTGCTGTGTTATTTAAAATGAGAAGTTGCTGACAAGTTACATAAGAACTACACCTGTTGTCCAGTTCCTCATACAGGTAAGCTTACATCCTTGTGGTAGTTGTAGTCCTTAAACAGAAAGTCGTTAATTTATTCATAAATCAGAAACAACCCATAGGAAATTTCTGAGTGAACCCATTGCTCGAAATGGTATTGCAGGTTTTAGGATTACAAAACAAACTCCATTCTTTGATTAACTTTTATGGTTTAACTGAGTGAATGCAAGGACATTGGGGAAAAAATAAAAAAAGGCATTAGGACTTTAAACATTTGTTAGCTTTACAATGTATTTATTATGTAATCACTTTCATTTGTATTTTGTCTTTTTGTTTTTCATAATTGCCCCTGGCAATTTGATGTGGCTTATTGAAAACAAAAAATCAGATCATTAAAAAAAGATGAATAAAAACACTAAAAATTGAATGCTTGAGAAAAACAATTGTCATCATTGTCAAATCATAACAATACAACACCAGTCCAGGGTCATTCAGTCTTTCAGTCCAGAGTCCAAAGTGCCAAGTCCTTTAGCAAAGTCATTGTTCTTATTGCTTTTAAGTTTGTAGAGAACTCAATAGATTCAAAATACATTTTAATGTCAAGTTTGAATCTTAAAAAAAAAGAGGTTTGCATTTCAAATTTACATTGATAAATATGGTATTTAGCTAAAATAAGATTTATGAAACAAGTTTAAAAAAGATGCTCAATTGAGAAATTACAATTCAAGTGAATTTTACCAAATTTTTTACATTACCGAAGGCCTAATCTCATTAGTGGGTACACTAAAAAAATACTGGGTTAAAAATAACCCAGCGCTGGGTTAAAAAGGGACAAACCCAGCTATTGGGTTGTTTTGACCCAGCGGTTGGGTTCAAAACAACCCAACCGCTGGACCAAAACAACCCAACCGCTGGACCAAAACAACCCAACCGCTGGGTCAAAACAACCCAACCGCTGGGTCAAAACAACCCAACCGCTGGACCAAAACAACCCAACCGCTGGACCAAAACAACCCAAAGTTTTTGAGTATCGTCTTAAATAAATAATACTTAAATACTATAAACATGGGGGGTGATTTAAAAAAAATCTACATTTGTGAATAAAATGATTCACTAACAAAAAGAAAACATTAATCAACAAAGCACCTTGGCTTCTTCATAGTTTCCATACTTAATATAAAGGACCATAGTTGCACTTTGTCCCAGAAGATACTAGAATATTTACAAGCAAAAACAGGAGGCTTACAGTTTTTTATTTGATTGATTTCCAACATATAATATAAAGGTACTGAACAAATATAAACTACAAAAAAAGAAATAGAAAATATACAGTATTATATAAATAATAATACAGGTAAAAATAATAATAAAAAAAAACTAAACAGAAAAAAGAACAGGTATGAGATCATCATATAAATAACAGAAAAGCTTCACAAAAAGAAAACATTAATCAACAAACCACCTTGGCTTCTTCATAGTTTCCATACTTAATATCTATAAAGGACCATAGTTGCACTTTGTCCCAGAAGATACTAGAATATTTACAAGCAAAAACAGGAGGCTTACAGTTTTTTATTTGATTGATTTCCAACATATAATATAAAGGTACTGAACAAATATAAACTACAAAAAAAGAAATAGAAAATATACAGTATTATATAAATAATAATACAGGTAAAAATAATAATAAAAAAAAACTAAACAGAAAAAAGAACAGGTATGAGATCATCATATAAATAACAGAAAAGCTTCACAAAGAGACCTAGTGCGTTTTGCTTTACTGTTCTTCAACCCAAGTAGTAACTCAATGTAATTTTTCATATCTATCTGAAATAAGAACGCTTACAGCAACCCAATGCAAGTTTGAATTTGCAGCACGTCATTTTGGCGCGCCCGCCCTCAGCTCACGCACGCGATCTCGCAGGGCGCTCGAGCGGCACACACACAGGCAGGCGCGAGATAAAGATGGCGGCGACGGTGGGGGAAACGGCGTGATATTCTGGAGTAGTAGCACTAAACCTGAGTGAAACCACCGTGTGACAGACCATAGCAAAATGGAAACCATGTCACAGTAGGCGTTTACTGGTAATACCAAGTACTACAAACTCACCTTCCCCCCCAAGACAACATTCATTTAGTGATTGTGGAGAAACCTCACCGGGAGCATGGCTTCGCACAGCAGCCAGGTAGGAAAACACTTCTGCCTCGTTTATGTTGCGTGTTTAGCTCATAATGGCGTCCGGAGTGTGTGTTTTGTCTCGTGCTGTACGTTACTTGCCGTCGGAGTGTGTGTTGTGGCGTCGAGTTTGTGTGTGGCCCACGCGCTCCTGCAGCGGCCTGGCCACGCGTTAATAACGGTCATTAGCGGGCGAGCGTTTCTGAACCTACCGCGCTTTTGGCGACGTTTCTATCGGATATCCCGTGTCTACCCCCCTCCACCGGGTTCAGTAAGAAGCTACGAAGTGTTTCTACAAAGTGTCTTTAGTTCAAGCGAGTTGAGATCGAGTCGTGTGGCTAATGTAGTATAATAGGCCTGTTGATTGGGGGCGGTATCGCTTCCCGTCTTCAACCTCATTCAAACTCTTTCCTTTGAGTTTTTCGCTTGTTTATTGCGCTCATGACATCCATTACATCTTCAGTGACCGTTCTTCACTGCTAGAATGTATTGTTAGCAGCTTTAGAGCGGGTTTGAAGTCTGCTAACTTTAAACGAGGCACCATGTAGATGCTACATCATTGTAGCTTTAACTGTTAGCCGCATGCTGGACGATAGCTTCTCGATGCTTCCCTTCAGGTCCTGTATAAACCATGTGTTTAATGTCGTATACAGGGCTGTCACTTCTGTATGCATCGCGTGCTGTCTTCAAGTTTGTCACTTAAAGTTGAATAGCTTGTAGCACTGCCTTGTATTGGGTTGAAATAGGGACAGATTCTTCTGGTCACTGGAAGATGCTGGGCTGCTGTTAAGTGCTGTAATAAGCAACCTAGATACATGAAGCACGAGGTCCTGTCAAAGTGTTAGATAGCCAGGCCAGTTCATGTAAACATGAAGAATAGGGTTATTTTCTCTGAATTTTGGCATGTTTGGGTTGCTCTCTTCGCCTGGTTTAATTAAAAAAGTAGCTTTAATTCTTACAGTATTGTTAGATGTATAATTTAAATTACGGTCACTGCCATGTTCACAGCAAAGTTCTCTTTAGATATTATTCCACGATTAGATCCTCTGAAGTGTGTATTTGTAGCCTGCATAAAAACACATGCAATGGTCTGATGGAGAGTTTGTCATATTCTCTCAGTGCTGTATATAATATTAGTGTTACCCTGTCTTTTTTTAAGAAAATAGTGTACGAAGACAATTTAGTTTTTGTGAAAAATACTATAATAGGACTACAGAATTAAAACTTGTGCCTAATTTGTTGTTCCTGGTCAAAAAATGACCAGCCTTTTGAGAATTGCTTGTTAATTTCCTATGCTATATCACCATATCTTGAATAATTATTATTTTTTATTTATTTATTTTTTGTTTTTTAGTGGATTATTTGTCTGTTCATTTAAAAGGCGTGTGTTTTTTTTGTAGGCTTGTCATTTTTGATTTAGACAAGGTGGGATTAAAAAGATTCTCAAAAAATTGAAAAATTATCAAAAAATGTTGGGAAGTTGTCATATACCCTGTGTGAGTAAAGTCGGCAAGTTGTAGTCCATTTCGTTAACATGACCTAGCATTTTCAGGGGAAAAACTCTCTGGATCAAAATGATCACACTCTAAAAAATGCTGGGTTAAATACAACCCAGTGCTGGGTAAAATAGGGACAAACCCAGCAATTGGGTTGTTTTGACCGAGCGGTTGGATTATATGTTTAACCCAACCTTCTGGGTAGTAACTCAACCGCTGGATCAAAACAACCCAATTGCTGGGCTTGTCCCTATTTTACCCAGCACTGTGTTGTATTTAACCCAGCATTTTTAGAGTGCAGAAAAAAACAAGAGGTTTCAGTTGCTTGAGTATGAAGCAAATTCAATTTGTCTTAGTAATTCATTTTTAAATTATAATTCAGTAAATATGTGAAATACATCTTTTTTTTTTGCGTCATATGTTATTTAATATTTTTAAATTAAATAGTGGGACACTCCACTATTTTTGAAAATAGGCTCATTTTGAGCAGGCGCAATGATATTACGCTACAGCTAAAAGTGCTACCGCCAGACCCGGAGAATAGATAAAAAAATGGTAAAACTCAACTGTTTAACTCTAGAGGAGTTGGAAAATGAGCCTGTTTTCAAAAATAGTGAAGTCTGAATAAAGTCAAATTTATATAGGCCAACAGCCAACCTGCTGTCTGAGATATTGGCATCGGCCTTCAAAAAAGCTGTATCGGTCTAGCACTCATATGCACCGCTGCATTATTTTTAGTCAACTGGTTTACATTGACTAACTGTAACTCCTGCGACTGCATACACAAACGTCATACAGAAGTTGAGTTAACTGTGATTTAGAGTAAATTCACAGCCTTGTTGGAATCCCACATCGAGTAAACAATGGTTTCCAACTTACTCGAGTGCATGCTTGACATGCGTGCTGCTCTGTACCCCTTAGATTCCCTTGGCATTGGTCACCCTTTCAACCGTTACAAAGCTTTGTGAGCCGATGTGTCTATTAATAGTGTGTGTCAGTCTTTGCCAAACAATGTTTACAAGGATTAGGCAATGTTGTATTGGAATATGTGAGATGAATTTGATGAAGACGAGTCCTGTAATGAAAGAAGCGCCCTGAAAATGGAAGTTGGATGTACTGCAATTCTGGGTGGGGCAGTTTATGATGTGCCAAGTTTAGAGGATATCCCTCAGTTGTAGCCTGTTATAGATAAATGGGGAAAAAAATGCAGGCAGCTGATAGGCACTCTCCAAGTATGATGACATCTGCTTTAAAAGCTCAGTGAGCTGGCATGTAGGATGATGGCATCACAATTGAAATGGTACAATAGGATTTATGGCTAGCAGCACAAAAGTAAAACTTTGTTCATCTCCTTCTGAATGCGCGTGTGTGTGTATATAAAGGTCTTTCCATAGCATAAAAAAGAATAGCTATATCTGAAAGCATTTGGATGTGGCAATGGTTGTTTGTGGTGATGGGAGAACTTATGCAATTCTTTTTAAGGGAAGGTCTGAAACCAGAAAATCCAGTGACTTGTCTGGTTTGTCTTTATCTGTGGGGGATGACATGTTTTACATAAAACCACATTCACAGCAGCTCTTTCTTTATCTTCATAAATGTGGTTTATCAGTTTAACGTACTGGAAGATAAGGTCATTTAAACCGTTAAAACTACTTAAATTAAGCAACCTATCATGTTAAAGTCAGCATGGAACTTAAGTTGTGATCGCTTTTTATTCCCTATTGTTAGGTGTATCTGAGTGAAACTGCTTCTCAAACAAGTAATGTAGGCCTGGTCTTGATTTTGTCTATCCAGTATTGATTGATTTAGGGATGTTAATTTGAACCGGTTAACCATTAACCGACCATAATAATTTTGACCGATTAATACAATCAATAATATAAACAAATTGTGTTTTTGGAGAAAAAATAAACCAGTCGCATTTTATTTCATTCAAAAACATTATAATAAACACTGTAAACATAGCTAGGCTATTTTAGTTCCC